TAAGGACTTCCAAGCAGACACCTCTCTGCTACTTTAACACTTTTTTTAAGATATCGACATTTGATACTTTTTTTTACCAAGACCAAAGAATCGAGTAACAGAGTAGAAGAAAAGAATCAAAGCTCTTTGAAAATGTGCTATTCCTGGTAAAGACACAATGAGCAAACCCCTACTTTTATTGCTACTTAAAATGACTAAATCCATGTACATGTATACCATATGAGTCAATAATGATCATAGCATGATCACGCAGCATTCTGTAAAGCTGTGTCTGCCCTGTTTAAACCAGATAAATTAAGGTTAGTTTGTCCCTCTCCTGTTCCTGGAAGTTGGAGTGAACAGAAAAAGCACTGCCTGAGGCCTTGAGAAGGAAGATAGCCACTCAGATTCTGGTAAGAAATAAGAGCGTTGGAAATCAGTCAGTACAGTGTGGTGAAAACAGTCAACAAGTAGAGAACACCACAAAACAACTACAAATATGCCAAAGTCTGGTTGTTTATGCATGTTCACTCTATAAGAAGACTGCAATATGCTAAACTAAGTTTTTCCAGAACCCTTTAATGTCATCTTGTGAACAAAGTCCCCTGTTCTGCTGACATTAACAATTGCATAACTGGACTGCAAAAATTACTAAGATTTATGTGAAAGGGGGAAATGTTTGGTCTCTATGAGAAACAGAACGGGTAAAGTTTGCTAGAGATAAGATAGGCAAACACCAGAATTTCTTGACTATATTCTGAGTTTGAAACTGAGTTATGTTGATACCAGAACAAAGGAGCAGTTTGGCAGTGACCAAATAAAACATTCCTGAAAGACAAGCTAAGACCAACTGTGAGGGTTAAAGGCACGGAGAGTTTGGAGAGTGCAGAAGCAGGACTTAGCTTTTCATCTCACAGGATGTTTGAGTAAAACATGAAATCCTGAAATAAAATCAAGTTAAACACAACTACATCTTGCAACATTCTGCCATAAAACATATAACCCAATCCGCCAAAGTCTAGCGACAGGAGATCCTTCCTGCCTGCTGCCTTTCAGTATAAAAAATAACTCATTGAAAAAAAATATATATATTAGTTTAAATACCATCTATTTTATTTTGAGGAATCTAATTGAATGCAATCATAAACCGAGAAAGGAAAATCCTGGATCCAGATCTTAAACTAATTTGGATGCTGTGAGTTGACTGGAAACAGGCAGCGTATGCAAGAAATCACACACGTGGAATAAACCCTATTCAGACTTTTAAATGCTGATATATGGCTTTTTCTACAAGAGAGTGATTTAGTTTCAGCCATGATGAGTAATACTAGCAATTAGTTGCAGGTAAATGTTTTCCAACTTTCTTCTCTCATAGGAAACACATTTATACTACATGATTACTTATGAGTCAGAGGTTTTATACGTAAACATCAGTTTCGATTTTAAGAGGAATTTATTTTTTGGAGCATTTAAACTTCATTCACTGAGGTCCAGAATAATTTACTCTGAAATGTTCACATCCACATCATCCTACAGGACCTTCCTGTTAGTTGATACCAAGATTAGCAGTTTAGACATTATAAAAAGTGAGGAAAGCCTTACAAAGGTTTGAGTATCCTTCTGTAATAGACCTTAGGGCTTATGGGGTAAATTAAATAATGCCAAGAAATTTATTTAAATTTGCTATTTTTATTTTTACCCCATGTTGCTGTATTCAAATATTTAAGTTGCCGGAAGTTCAAAAATTACATTATTATTGTGCTGTTCAAGTTAAATAACAGCTAAACTAAAAAAGACATAAAAATCATTAAACAATTGAAAATAACAGCTAAAAGCCAACCTATAAAAATTGGATTTTAAATCGATCTAAAAGAGCATTTTTTCATTGAAAAATGTTTTCAAAATTAATTTCGTTTGTGAAATCCCTAGACTGTTGTCCAAAATCAACTTCAGCATAGTAAGTCTTTGTATCATCAGGAAAAAGTAAATTTTCATTCTATAATATATATTTTTAATAAACTGCTTAAAAAACTTCTGAAAAAAGGGCCCAAACACAAACAGACAGAACGTCATATGCGAGGTCAAACCATTCAGATAAAAAAAGTACATCCCAACTTCACAGACTGGCTCTTTCTCACTTTAATCCAATGGTATTTACTCGTAAGTCATAATTAATTGCGTCATGAGCTTTCTTGATGTCAAGACACAAATAGCAATTTTCCTCTTATCAATCTTGGTTATTCCCTCCACTAGAGTTTGATTGCTCAGTTTATGTGTTTCTAATAATTCCAGTCTTTTTTTTTTAAAGTTTATCAAATATTTTGTAAAATATTTGATAAACTGTGGCACAACAGAGACTTGTCCATAGTTAAGTGTGTAGGAAGTCCTTACACCTGTTGCATTTGCTCTATCTTGGCTATATTTACCCTACATAAAAATGTGTAGTGTGTTAAATTTGTAAAATAGTTTCAGATTTATAAAATATATAATTTTAACCTTTTTCTGCAGTGTCATGTTAATTCCATGTTAGTAGATGTTTTATTCTAACATGTGTTTACAAGATCAGGTTTCTGTTCCTGTCACTGCACTGAGAAGAAGTTTGCTAGGATTTAACTTATTGTTTTATTTAAATATTGATTGTTGTTTGTTTTGCCCATAAATTTGTCTAGATAGATTTTATAAAATTATAAAAGTTGTATGCATTCTCAGTTTTATAATAACCTTCAGTATTTTTGTCAACAAAATAAATGTTTGTGGCTTAAGTGCACAATAAAGGTTGCTCTTGAAATTAAAAAGCCTTAGAAAACTTAAAAATAAAAAATTGTAAAGTACTGCAAATTATCACAGACCAGGTTCCTTGAAAGTAAAAAAATGCAAATATAAAAAAAATATTCAAGTTTTATTAAAGTTTTATGCCAATAGATCTTTGGAGGAGAAAGTGCTGCTATATGGATATTTATAAAGCTCTTATCTTAATTGTACTTATTATCAGTAGTTCAGGCAGTGTAAACACATCTATTATCTTTTAGTATCTAATTTCATACAATAACCCACATCAATAAAAAAAAAAAAAAAAAATGCTAATAAACTACTGTTAGTCCACCAGGAGGCACACCATCAGCGTTTCAAATCCAGGAAGTGGGACAAACCTTTCTAGCATGAGGCTGTGGTTACATATAGGGCCCTACCTGAACTTGCTCAAAATGCAACTCCACACGTGGCCACATTATCAACCTCCCTGGAGGTTATGGCAAGGCCGAGCTGTGACGCCAGCACATCAAAGGACAGCCCCAGTTCAAAGCAGTCTGCAATTTCAGAGCAGTAAAAGCAAGAGAACAGAAGCAGAGAATAGAGCCACAGGTGGGCGCATTCTGTTTAGCCTGCCTCAGCCGTCGCACGCATTTTTTACTTCCTACTGATGATAGATGATTGCTCGCCTTAAACCCCAGGTTCTCCATCTTCTTGCAGGCTTCCAAACTTTCATTTATATGTACTACTTGTTAAGGGTTATAACTTGTCCTTTCCTGACTTATTGTAATTGTGTTTTGTGATTTCTTAGTCGTCCTTTGATCCTGTATAGTATCCCAAACACACACCTCAGCACCTTAATCCTGCTGAAGAGTGGCATTCGTTTACCAGTGCCAGGGCTGCCTGGGATGCCTGCAAGGATAGAGGGAGGGGGGGAGAACCAGAGGCTGACAGGGAGGGGAAAGGCAAAAAAATGGTGGCAAGGGGCGAAGGGGTGCGTCTCCAAGGCAACTGTGTTTTTGTTAGCGCTTGTGAGTCAGACAAGCGGTGAGTCACAGTCAGGAAGAAACTCACACAGTCACATTCATACTCACTCCACACTCAGTCAAAGAGATGCCAAATAAGGACAGCTACATGCAAAAGAACTGGGCAAGTAGGTAGGGAAAAAACTAGGAGGGAAGGACATGGATAATTAGCTGAAATTAAGAGGAAAATAACTAGGGAAGCATACGGGAAAGATAAGATTCAAATAAAAGGTGTGGAAAAGTGAGATAGAGGATCCAAAGCAAATAGGAACCGTGGATCCAGTGGGCACGAGTACAGGCACATTTGCTCTCTGAGAAGCAGCCATCATAAGGGTGGGGAAGAGGAAACGCTCAGAGCCACACCCAGTTTGTGCACACCTTGGATTAACTTGCTAAGCCGCCAATTTATTGTCTGATGCATACACAGGCCACCTTGCTCCGTGGCAAACATTGCAATATTTGACATCAATGCATTTAAAAAAATGTTTTTACACCTTTTTTAGTCTTTAGACTACATATGCAGCAGTGCTTTCATTTTGAGAAAACGGCCTGATGATTATACTGGTGTTCATCACTTCTGGGGTCTGTGACTGGTTTATATTGCCGCAGCTGCTTGGTTGTTGTTCCAGTATATAAAAAAAAGGCCTGTAGGGCGCAGAGATGACTGGATTTGTTTTTACAAATGAGTCTGCAGGTTTAGTTTTGTGTTGGCTGCATGTTCATACATCATCTAGACTTTGGCTTATTATCCAATCACACCCTGAATGTGTGTTTTGGCGTCCACTGGCCCCACCCGAGTGGTAGAAAATAGCCCACCACACACACACACACACACACACACATATCCTTTTTCTTTCCCAGCAAACGTGTCTGAATGTTTTTTTTTTCTATTTTGAAAAAGTTGACCAATTGCCAGTTCTCAACGCTCTAAGTTGTTGACTGCAAAGATTCTTTCTTGTCTCAGGCATCTTTTAATTCAGTTCAGACCCAAACCTCCAATATAATTTAGAATAGTACAGTATGTTCTTTGAATCAGGTACTCAAATAAGCTGTTGCAAAATCTGGAACTTTCCCCCTGTTTGCGCTCTCTTTCTATACCTCTCTGACGGCTGAAGTTCAGCTCAGCGCAG